TTGCCTGAAAGCCAAGATGTAGCACTCTCAGCTTCAGGACCACATCTGCCTGCACACTGCCATGCTCCTCGTTATGATAATGGACTGAACTTCAAACTGTAAGCGAGCCACCTCAATGAAATGTTTCCTTTATAAAAGTTGCCTTGGTCATGGTGTCTCCTCACAGCAATAAAAACTCTAAGCCAAAATGTATTCTTTATGAGAGCTGCCATTGTCATGGTGTCTCTTCACAGCAATAAAAACCTCAACTAAGACACACACCAAGGCTAACACCAGTGTTCCTCAAACTGCTGCACAAATTAAAAGGGAAGGGACACTAACAGATGCACTCTATTAAGCCAGTATTACTTGATATCAAATGAGGTAGAGCAACAATAAGGAAAGAAAACTGTAGACCAATTTTAATGGTCAATATAAATGTAAAATCTCTCAATTAAATTGGTTCAAACTGAATGACACCAGGATGGTTCAACATGCTCAGTACAATAAATATAGCATATACATAAGCTCAGGGACAGACATGACATGATTGTCTCAATAGATGTAGAAAAGGTCTTCATCAGTGTTAAGCAACCCTTCTTGATAAAAGCGCTGAAGAAACTAGGAATATATTTCAGCACAAGAAAGTCTGTATATGAGAAGCTTTAGACCATATTATTCAAATTGTCTAAAACACTGAGAACATTTTTCCTAATATTAGGGACAAGCTAGGGTGTCCATTCTCTCTACTCATACTCAATACAGTGCTTGGAGTCTTAGATAGAGCAATAAATAACACAGAGGAAGAAACAATAGGGATTCAAATAGGAAAGGAAGAAGTCAAATTATCCCTACTTGTAGATTACAAGATCATACATTCAAAAGAACCTTATTCTTTTACCAGAAAACTCTTAGGTCTTATAGATAACTTAAGTAGTAGGTCACTAAATCAGCAGAGGAAAATCAGTGGTGTTTCTAATTAGCAGTAATTCAATTGCCAGGAAAGAAATCAGGGGAAAATCTCATTCACAAAATCCTTCTTTAAATTAATTGAGTTGTCTGCAGAGCTCTTGCAGCATTGTGGCGCCTCTGCACTCACTTCTGTGTACCCATTGTAATCAACAAATGCCTCTCCCTAAATAGATAAGGATTTAAGCACCCTGTCACCTAAGCCTACATTTCAATCTCTACACTAGATTCTACGAGTGGAATCATATTCCATTGTAGAGAAGATGTGAGTCCAGCCTGTTTTCAGAACACACATCCTGGGTTTAGGTCCCCAGATAAAAAGTGGGTTTGGATCTGAGGTTGCCAGAGCAACAGAATGTCCATTAAGCAGACTGGAAGGGTCCTGAGTTATTGCTCTGAAGGATAGCACTACCTAGATTTAATGTATAAATAAAATAGATCCCTGGCATTCTAAAATGGCTTAGATAATAGTTCCTCCATAAGGCAGGGATGGATTGAAATTCAATACACTTCCACATGACCATCATCTGCTGAAATGCTCCAGATACCTGCATGTCAGTCTTATAGCAGGTCTGAGAGCTATAATCTAAAATTACATTCCTTTCTCCTTTGCTTTCTTTCTTCCTAGGCCTTCACTACAGATAAGTTGGAAAGACGATACATTTCCTCCCTCCAGTCAGCTGTCTGCTGTCTGCAACTGATACTATGCACAGCAGTACAGCATCTGTGTTTCAGGAAAACGATGTGTGAAAACACTTTTCAAAATGCTCACTGTCTAGATAAAAAGAAAACTAAAAATATGTTTGGTTACCACTTGTAAAGCCTATTGAATTTGGCTGTGAATGAGTATCTAATTGTCATCCGTTTCTAGTGGAGTCTTCCTTGAACATTACACCCATCATAAAAATAAGTCAGCTGTAGCATAATATAATTCATGTTGAAATCATTTTAAAAAGATGTAACACAAATTCCTACATGGTCTTATTAATAAAAAAAAAAAAAACCTGGAACCAGATATTGGGGTGAAAGCTGAGAGATCAGAGGATTAGAACAAGCCAGCCACAAGTTCTTACTGCCAGGAAATCCTTAGCCTAAGAGAGCTACTTCCTGTATACTCGTGCCTTATATACCTTTCTGTGCCCTGCCATCTTACTTCCTCTCTCCACCCAGCTACATCACTTTCCTCCTTCCTCCCAGCTCTGTCACTTCCTGTCTGTCTGTACAGACCTCTAGACATCTATGGTTAACTAGTGCTGGGATTAAAGGCATGTGCTACCATGCATGGCTCTGTTCCCATTGTGGCCTTGGACTCACAGAGATCCAGATGGATCTCTGCCTCCTGAATGCCAGGATTAAAGATGTGTGCCACCACTGTCTTGCCTCCATGTCTAATCCAGTGGCTGGCTCTGTCTTCTGATCCCCAGATAAGTTTATTAGAGAATACAATATATTGGGATACACAATATATCACCACAAGAAATAACAATCAGCAGATTTTTTAATAATTTACATGTAGTCTTTTAAAATTATGTGTGTGCATATGTTTTGTGGGCATGCGTATGTGCGCGTGTGTGTGTGTGTGTGTGTGTGTGTGTGTGTGTGTGTGTGTGTGTGTTGTTTATGTTCAGGCACATGTGCTGTGAACTCCCTATAGAGGTAAGAGGACAATTGTGAAATCCATTCTTTCTTCCACCTTTACATGGGGTTAAACTCAGCCAGGATTTCATGGAAAGTACCTGTGCTGGATGAACCACCTCACTAGTCCAACATTTCCTATTCTTTTTATTTATTTTTATTTTATGTGTCTCAATGTTCTGAATGTGTACGTATGTGCACCATGTGGGGGAACTGGACAGCTGTGAGTCATCTTGTGGATGCTTGAAAATGAACCCAGATCCTCTCAAGAGCAGCAAGAGCTCTTAGCCACTAAGTCATCTCTTCAGCCTGCTGATGTTCCTTCTTGATGGCCCCTTTGAAGAAATAAGGAAAGCCACAGGTACATAAAATGTCATGCCTTGTTAGTAAAACAGGGATGTTTTTACTGGAGTGTTACAGCTAGTTCTCTAGTTTTGAACAATGGTGTTGGGTTACTTTCCTGTTTTTCATTTATAATAAAAAAAATTTCTTTATCACCCATGCCTGTTCCCATGGGATTAGCATAAGCCTATTATACTCACAAGGCTGAATTTAAGGGCAGAAAGACTCATACAACTTAGAGAGTCCAGACTTAGGCTGCACTTATTGACAAAAAATATATTCCTCAGTCAATAGTGAGCACAAATATGATGTTTTTGTAAACTCAATAGCATTCATCATCAGCATCCCACTTGCTTCTGTGTGGTTTGAATGACCAGGCTTTCTCTGAAGGGTTGGCTAGACTTTTTAATGATTTTCAATTTCTTTTCCATATGCAAATGTCAAAGGAACGAATCTATTCCAGTTGTTCAGATAAGGAAGTTTGCAGTTAATAAGGTATAAGTACAGAAAGATGCAAGATTAATAGACCTCAAAGCACAGCTCCAATCAATATCTCCCCTAATCGAGTCTCATCTTTCTGACCCTAGACTTAATAAAGCTCAGTGCTCTCTATCCCTGGACTTCACGGGTTTGACTTCACTAGCATCAGCCTAATTTCTACAGCTCTTCTTCTTTAGGTACTTATTAATCAGGGGCTCATCAGGATTGCTTGAGTGTATATATATGTATATGTGTGTTGTGTGTGTGTGTGTGTGTGTGTGTGTGTGTGTATACAGTGACAACCACATGCTAGCTGAACTTGAGTCTGAACGTGAATTTATATTTTTTTTTTTGGTGGGGGGATACTTTTTTATTTAGGCTACGTGCTCCAGGCTGATGGCCAAAACTTATTTGTAAAATCTAATGAATAGTTTATTGTGCTTCCAAGTTCTGTGGGGAATTCTTCTGGGTATCTTTGATGTCTGGGATTTGGGCTCAGACTATTACGAGTGTCTCAAGGAGCTGGGGGCTGGAGTCATCTGGAGGTGTCTTTACGGACCATTCTAATATTAATAATTAGGCTGGGGTGATATCAAGGCCCTGCTCAGTTGGACCTCAGTCAGATACCTACTTACACATTCTTTTCCATATAGCTTGGGCTTTCTTAGAGTATGGTAGCTCAAAATCACCCAAATCCCTCTGTTTCTGACTGCTAGAACAAGTAAATACTCCACTGGGAAGGTGCAGCTGTAAGGCCTTTTATGAACCCTGCCTCAGAAAGCACAGTCTTTGAGGAATGAAGAGAACCTGAATGAAAAATGACAATTTATCTGTGGCTGTGGCGACATTTTGAAGTTAACACAGCCAGAGTTGAGACCAGCCAAACTCATACTTTGTAAACACTAGATACAGAGCCGGGCTGGAGTTGCAACGTGGAAACACCAGGATACAAAACGCTGGAAAGCAAATGGCCAGGATCCCAGGAAGAAGAGCAGGATATCTCCCTACATTTTGTCTGTGATGTGCCTGGCTTGACTCACCCTACACCTGATAGTGCCACCACGTGTAAACATCAGAACTATGAGCTAAGTACCACCAAGATGATCATTTTACCGATTAGTAAAACTGAAGTTTAGAGACTTAGGGATTCTCTGGGTCATAAGATAACAAAGTAACTTAAGCAGGCTTGGTCAGATGGCCAAACCCAGAGCCTTAATTCCAAACTGAACTATTCATCCCTTCCTGAGAGGAATCCAGGAACGGGGGACCGGGGGTCACGCAGAGTCCTGCTTCCACCACTTAGATTCCTTCTTTCCACTCATGCCCCTGCTCCCCGCCCCAGAGGTTCTGACCTGGCCCCTTGCCTGTTCAGGACAAAGCCTTGTCTGGTCTGTCCTGCAAGGTGTCTTGTGGTGGGAAGGGTCCCAGAGGGTTATCTCTAGCATGAGGCTAAGGGCGTGCCAGAGCCAGGAAATGCTCACAGGCAAGGGGAGCTACGTTGTTGCTAAGTGCAGGGATGAGTCGGATCCCCAGTGAGACGCAGTCAGCTCGTGGGAAGGGGGCGGTGAGAGCCAGCGTGCTGAAGCCGAGAGGCGGGAGAGGGAGGAGAGTCCGCGCTGAGCGGAGGGAGGCGCGCGCCCAGCGAACACCCACTCGCATCCGAGCGCAGGGAGGCAGCAGCTGAGACAGCACCAGGTCTGAGCCGCTGCATCCCGCCCAGTCAGTCTCCGCCCGTCGGCTTCGGCTTCGGGGCTCCAAAGGATGGAGGATTCCCAGGAGACATCGCCGTCCTCCAACAACTCCTCTGAAGAGCTCAGTTCTGCCCTGCAGCTGTCCAAGGGCATGTCCATCTTCCTCGACGTAAGTATAGACGAAGGAGTTATGTGGGCACCTTAGGCATCACCCCCCTGTGAGAGAGGAGGGGTCGGGTGCAGCCGCTGGCTGCTGGTGTTATAAGCTCAGACCTCCACCCAAACTATCTCCTGTCCGTTGTCCTCACCCCACCCCAGAGGACCCTAGGCAAGTGTCAGAGAAAGGACCGCCACCCAACTTGTAAGAAGAGCTGTCCCAGACTTGCAGCTTTGATTACAAGCGTTATGGGAGACCAAAAAGTTCGACTCCCCAGCAGCCTAGGCTTCTGCCAGGGATAGAAACAGGAATCTCCATTGGGCAGTATAGGACTTGATTCCCGACTCATCCCTGCTGCCCAGTTTGCTGATAGGCACCCCCACTTGTGCTGCGGAGCGCTGATAGAAGCCTTGGAAATTGTGATGCCCCTCCAACCTCTCCCAGCTGCCTCCAAAAACAGTTTCTTTGAACATATTTGCTTTTCATTTTACAACAGTAGCCAAGGTCTCTTTTATGATGATGATGATGCTTTTCCTTTTGATGCTCTCTCCGTTCCCCATTATTCTCTTCCCCTGAGCCTAAATTGTAATTGCTACCATTGCGTTCTCCTCTAGCTTTGGACTGTTTTCCCTTTGGTCCCATTCCTTGCTTGGGAATTGACTTCCTTCCTTCGCGTCTTAACATGATCATTCTTTTCTTTCTGGGCTATTTTTCTCCACTTGTGCTGTGATTTCTCTCTCTATAGCAGCTTTAGATCTTAATTTGCTCCTGAATTCTGCTTCGCTTTGTCCTCTGCTTTTTTGGTTCTGTTTCTCACTCTGCTGCCTTGTTAGGTTTCCTGGCTTTCTTGTTCCTGGGTTGCATACCTTCTGGGCTCTGGCTCTCCCGCTGCTGCTCACTTGTCAAATTCACTCTGTTCCCGCAGGTAGTGTCTGGCTCAGTGGGGGCAGGTCTAGCCGCTGCTTGTTTAGCATGCTGGAAAATGGGCAAAGCATGCCAAGGAGCCCTGCTTGTCTCTGCCCTTCCCCTCTCCAAGCCATCATTTCTTATTAAAGTCCAAGCAAGTGGGAGGTGGGCCAGAGGCCAAATGATTGTGAAAAATGAAGATGTGAGGCAATAAAATACTAGTATCATAATGGCCAGTCAGAGATTTTGAAGACAATGGAGAGAGAAGCAAGGAATCCTCATTTTGTCTTGAATGTTCTAGATTTTTTTAATTAGCAGAGAAGTACATAACAATAATTAAAACTTGTGTAAGCCACTTCATCTGGTTCAGTCCCAGCTCCCAGAGCCTTTTCCATCACCATGCAGTTCCAACACAAGATTCAGGCTTTGGGAGCCAGACATTTCTTCCCTGGAAAACACAAGGATCTGATTTCCACCTTTGCTGCACCAAATTGTTATAGTTTATTCTTCTTGGGAAAAAAAAATGATCTTTACATTGGTTCAGTCGATGCTTTCATTAGCTAGTGTTATTTCTTCATGCCCTGCCATTCAGGACATAGCCCTTGAGGAACTAAACTAAGCCGGGTGAATGTAAAGACAAGCCATAAGAAGACAATCCCTGAGGTCAGAGGAAGTCAGGGCCTTGCTCAGGCAGAGCCTTGGGGAAAAAAGCTAATCTCCTAGGAAGTGAATTCTGAGGTCAAGTGGGACCTTCATCCATTCGGGCCTGATTTCTGCTCTGCCCTCCAAGGATACTGAGTGCTACCTTGTGTTTTGTTTTGTTTTGTCTTGTTTTGTTTTTTTGTCTTATGCATCTAACAACTCCCGGGGATGCTCTGGTGAGGAATGAATCGAAACTATGCAAGAGGAGAGTGAGGAGTCACCCTGACTGACTCGCCACTCTCAGCTCAAGTCAGTTTTCTAAAACAAAATTTCAAATCTCATTTATTAAATATACGCACGGTTGTTCCCAAGTTCTATAAACAGTGTAAGGGCCCTGTCCTGAAGGAACTTTGATCTTTGGACAGAGCTCCCTTGCCTTCTTATGTCTATTTCTAGAACTGAAAAGAAGAAGAAGAAGGAGAAGAGAAAAAAAAAGCCCACCTGATTCCATAGGAGAGGCGTGAACATGCTTGTTTTTCAGTGAAATGTAGTCAAAAAAAAAAAAAAAGATTAACTGCAGTTGAATTTTTTTCTTGGATAGAAAATATGTTGTTTACACATTTCTGAGTTATTTTGTGAAAAAATCTAACACTCTGGTGAATTGTGTGACATGAAAAAGGATTGGTTATTTAGGGATCTCTGAATTATTCATTTCTGGATCCTGTTGCTTTTAGCAAAAACAAAATGTGAAACATAAATACATCACTTGATTTGATTAGATTTAGTATATTCTAGTAGCATTGCTAAGAACGGTTGCTGTCTGAGTTCTATTAAAATCATAAGGAGAAGGTGGTAGGTATTGCTGTCTGAATTCTATTAAAATCATAAGGAGAAGGTGGTAAGTATTGCCTGTACTAGAAAACACACGGAACCACTGTGGGACTTTTGTACCTCACAGACTAATTTCCCCAAATTTTGGGACAACTGAATTTATATTCAAGTATCATTGAAACAATTGATCTTTAGACTTCTTAGAGAAATTGGACCGTCATTTGAGGATACTGTTGATAATATGACTTGACTCGGCAAGCTGGTTAGAAACTAGAGATAAATGGTTGACATGAACGTGAAAATCAGATTTTGTAAGTCATTGTCTTTCATTTTTCTTATATTACACACAGCAGTTGCCATGAGTCTGATAAGGCTGTTGTTATTATGGGGTGACAGTCTACAAAACAAAGGAAGAAAGGACGCATGCAATATACATTTGAAGTTCTGTGGTATGTCAGTGTTTCATGTTCAATTCAAAAACAGCTATAGCTAAATTCTATTTTATACAAACTAATATAGGAACTGCATAAATATAATCTATATTTCATCCCCCAAGGTGGCAGAAGTACATACCACTTTATGGTAACTGCTTGTGAATACCTACTGAGGGTGAGACTTTAAAGACCTCTACCCAGTGCTGGTGCCCAAACACGCTGCACATAGCTGCTGGGCGTGTTTACACAGTGCACACCTGTGAGTCATGAGACAGGACCCAAGCTGGCTCCAGCACACAGCAACACAAAAGGATCAGAAGGCTGACAATCACTTCCCTTTTCCACTACTACACTTTATGTTCCCAAGTTCCCTTATTCCAGATAATGGAGAATAAAGTCCCGTTGAAAATGTGAGACCCTGGAGCAGTCAGGTGCTCTTTTGATTCATCTACTGGGCTACTGTGCAGTGGGGGAGAATCTTCAGTTCTGCTCCTGACACAAGCGGAATTCCAAAAGAAATGAGTTGCACCTCCGCTCATCCGATGGCACTGCCCTCTTTGAACAAGTTCCCTTTGACTCTTCAATGCTGGGCATCTGACCCAGGGCCTGGTGCGTGTGAGGCAGGTGTTCTACCCCTGGACCACACCTCCAGCCTCTCATTGCTTTCGATTGAGAAGGAGAAGGGCCTTCTTCATTTCACTGGTAAAGTGGGACTGAGGCCGGAAGGTCAGCAGAGTGATGGCTTTACAGTTTGACATTCACTGTTCCTCCACCTCAGTGTATCAACCCGTGCAAGGCTCATGGCGTGTGCAAGGTCAGAACCTGGTAAAAACAAAACAAACAAAAAAAATGAGTACTGGCTTCTCCTTCTAAACATGTTTGGTTCCGAGGCTCGGCACATACTTGTTTGTAGGAGAGATGACATGGATGGAGGATTGTGAGAGCAGACAGGGTTTTCTGACACCATGACACTATGACTGAATTCTGCTTTTGTCACACGTCCCCTGCCTTGCCCAGTCACACATGCACACTGGATTACTTGAATGAGATTGTCCGTTTTGGGAAATGCCAAGTGAAAGCTAGACAAGTGGCTTTTGCCATGTTTTTCCACACAGGACTTACCCAGGGCAAAACTGAGAAGAATGGAATAGAATGTACTGATTACATTTCAGTCCTGTGTTTTCCAGGGCCAACCTCCCTGCAGCCTGAGAGCAGGCAGTGGTGTGTTACCAAACGATCTATTGAGTGCCCAGGCCTGTGCACCAGGGCTCATCCCCTAGCTCTTTATTTCTGTATATCAGTTGATGATCTGTGTGAGCTCCAATTTTCTGTTGAACATCCCGGTTCCCCTGGATCCTGCCAAGTGACTGATAACTCATCTTATCTTAAATCTTAACCTGAATCCTGGTCTGAGGCACTTGTTAGTCAGTGAATGATAACTTATGCTTTCAAGATAACATTTATGTTTAAAGTCTGTCCTCAATAACTTAAAGTGAGAAATAAGGAATTTCACTTATGGACATCAAAGAGTATCTTTGGAGGTTAAAAAAAAAAAAAGAATCTGTACTATAATCCTTAAGTTATAGCAAAGTGCAGTATCCCTTGTGTTTAAGCGTCCTGCATGGACATATTTAAACTTATTTACTATCCTCTAGTGAGGGCAGCTGTTAGGATTAGCTGACTGTGATAACACTGCATACTAAAGTCCATTTTCATTTGCAGTGCATTTTTTTTATTACTTTGTGAGCTCTGAGGCAAAATTTGCAGGAAAGGCAGTTCTATCCATACATAATTACAAGAGTTTAATAACATGAGCTACTGTCTTAATTTCATCTCTGAGAGCCTGAGTGCTACATCCGGTTGTTATTTATGCAACAAAATGATGGAAATCCTGGGTCCAACTCCTTAAGGTGTAGTTGTTTCTCTTCTAGTCATTTCTTGAGTATACAGTAGGGTTCAAAAGCCAAACCTTAGGGCCAATCAGAGATAAGAGACAGGATGTGCTTCCTGCTTCCGTGGCTTGGCTGTAGTTTTCAATTTTGGAAGTCAGGAAGAAGCTGTTCAGTGGAAGAATGGATCATTAAAGTCTCCACTAGCAACTACTCCAAGCAGTAAAAAGAATGCTATGCAGGCTACTCTAAGCATATTTCCTATCATGAAATCATCCTCTTGTAGTAATTGAGTTTATTCTACGAAGCAGAGGAGCCATTGATGTCTGATGGTTAGAGTGACACCCATCTGTTGCTGGGAAGGTTCCATGGAAGACACTTGTTAGAATAATATGGTATTTTATAATGGCAAACATCTTAGTGAAGAGTAGATTTATCCATACCTCACTTCTGTGAAGTCAGAAGAATGAAAGGAGGTTACTTTTCCTATAACAGAACGAAGAAAATTTTAAAAATAGTAATAAAGTAGTAGTAAAAAGTAGACTGTGTTTTAAACTGTTCACCAGGAAGTGCCAATCTAAAAACAAGGATAGTTCCAGCTATTTATCAATAATTAAAGCTTACTCAGGAAAACAAGACCCTCCAGGGCTCTTTCCATGTAATTCAAGTCTGCATTTGCAATGCAGTAGAGTATCATTCTCCGTGGGCGTGTATGAAACGCATTATGTCATCCAGTTAGTTTTCTGCAGGTACCTACATCACATGGGGTTCATTTAATTGCTCCTAACAGAAGGAAACAACCAAAACCTGTTTAAGGTTTAAATGTATAATAATAGTATATTGGCCTTTGTATAAACAGCTGGGGTTGTCTCCTTAGGGACTAGCCAGGGCCTCAGAGAGTGCCTCTTGGTTTTTCTAATCTCTCAACATAGCTTTCTGGAGTGTTGATTTGTTTCAAGTTATAAATTATATTAATTTCAGAAAAAGGCTATAGCGACTCTCACAGATGGGGTGGCTTACACATAAGAACTCATGAAACCTCAGAGTTGGGGAGGCCAGAAGAGTATAATGAAGGTGTTGGTAGGAAATGGTTTCTGCCAAGGCTGCAGAGTGGCCATCTTTTGTGATTCTATCCTGGCTTCTGATGGCAGCGTCGGCTCCAATCATTCTAGAATTGTAGCTATGTCACTCCAGCACCTCAGTCTGTCGTGAGCCCTCTTCTATGTCTGTCTCTCAATCACTGTCTCTTCATAAGGCCATCACAGTAGGGCCCCCACCTCATGAAGGACCCACTTCCAAATAAGGTCACGTTCACAGGTACTAAGAAACCAGAGCTTCGCCGGGCGGTGGTGGCGCACGCCTTTAATCCCAGCACTCGGGAGGCAGAGGCAGGCGGATCTCTGTGAGTTCGAGGCCAGCCTGGTCTACAAAGCGAGTTCCAGGAAAGGCGCAAAGCTACACAGAGAAACCCTGTCTCGAAAAACCAAAAAAAAAAAAAAAAAAAAAAAAAAAGAAAGAAAGAAAAAAAGAAACCAGAGCTTCAACACCTGTTTTCAGGGGAAAACAGTTCAACCCACAGCGTATATGATAACATAATGTCCAAGGGCATACCTTGCCTGTATCTTTCCAGGTTTAAATCCATAAGCAAACAAAGAGTATCTTTCTCCTAACTGCTCAAGCGTGGACTGTTATTCATTAGCACTAAGGTGCTCCTGACCCATCAAATGCCATTGTCAGAGCAATGTAAGACTGTCAGGCCTACATGCTTCACCCAGCCCTTAAACATAGAAACCAAGAGTAGAGGAAAGATTAGTTTCTCAGGGAATAATTAGAAATCATTACCACTGAGTAATGGACACCAGATGGCCAAACAATTGCTGTACATCAAAACACCTTAAAGAGGGTCCAAGATAACATTACTATAGCCAAGTAGTAGAGCTATGTGGGCTCTTGTTTGCCAATCACTTATTATTTTTCTTTTCTGTTTTTAATTTCCTGTTTTATTGAAATACAATTACCTTATATTAAAGTGTATACATTTAAGATATAAATGTGTTGAGTTTTAACATGAAATGTGAGAGTCCCTGCAAGCATCATGGCTAGCAGCCAAACAAGCTGTGGAGAGGCAAGAATGGAAACCCTGTTCAGCATGACTTAGCTGGGCTGGTTCAGACTTGTAGAGTCCAACATCAGACCAGTTTATTTCAGACATATTCAAATACAGTAGAGTTTTGGATAAAAGTTTCCTGGTAACAAGTAACAACTATCCCAATCCCATGTACACAATAGAGCTTAAGGTATAACTACATCAGAACTCTTTTGAAAAGTACATGTGAGCTCTACCATGAAGACGGGTTCTATAGCCTAAAGGCCTAGGATCTAGTGTGCTCTCTGACACAGGTGAGCAGCCTGTAAAGGACAAGTGGCATCTCCTCTGAGGATGGGTTCAATTGACTGAGAAACAAAGCTACCTATAAAGGTCTAGGGAGGGAGAGTCTGGGATAAACATTCTGGGGATTTGGCTCTGCAGATAGCAAATGTCTCCATCCAGGTCATTAACAAGACTCACTCCTAGCCTTCTGGGTAGAAAACAAGTATTTATTTCCTCCATTGAGACCATACCTCTGAGTGATTAAAATTCCTGGTTTCTCTATTGCTTATCCATGAGCACAAAGACCTCATGCCCTCTACAATGAAACAATTAAATTTGAGATAATTTAATATTTGCATTGTCCTCAACAGTTTCCTTATACACTTTTCTAATCCATAGCTCTTGGCTTTGACTACTATTAGATAGCTTTTGATCTATTTTCTGTCACTAAATGTTATTATGCATTTAAAAACTGTATATACCTAGAATTATGCCTAGGCATTTTTGTGTCTAGGCTTTCTACTCAACCTAATTATTTTGAGACACATCCAAATTTTTACATGCAAAATATTTTTGATAGCTGATTCTTTTTAAATTGCCGGCTAACTCTTTACTGTATTGATCATACACTTGGTTCATCAGTTTACCTATTGATGGACATTTGAGCTGCTTTCAGGTAGTGGAATATTAAAAAGGGAAGATCTCAGTTGTTAACCATTCATTTAACATTGGGGTTTCATTTGTTTAATGATAGATAATTAATAATTAATAAATTATGGGTAAATATAGCATTCAGTGTAATATTTAGGAACAAAAAACGTTCTTTCTTCCCCTGCCAATCCTGGGGATTGAACCTAGGGCATCACATATGCTAGGTAAGTGCTGTACCACTGAGCTACAGCCCCAGCACAGAAAAAAAAATGATAAAATTTTTCTTCTTTTCTTTCCAGATACTGAGGAGAGCTGACAAAAATGGTAAGACCAAAATTCTATAATTTCTATTTATTAATTCATTATATTTTAGACTGTCTTATGTGAATAACAAAGGAGTAGAAATTGAACTATAAAATACAGTTTTAGCCATAGTTATCATTTTCATCAAGTTTAGGGCTCCAGATACTCATGAGAAGTTGGCAGATGAACTCAAATTTGACAGAAAGATGGAATTTATGCCTTTGAAGTGAGGAGTCTTGTCATACTTGGGCTGTGACTTCTCCCTTTAATGCTTGAAAAAAAATAGAGCAATAGCAGCTTCAACTCAGAGTGTACTGAGCTGACAGAGTGTATTTCGTCTGTATTATGTCTTAGAGTTCTAAGCTACAAAGCATCTTCAACGTAAACCTGTTTGGTACCAGCATCTGGGCTCACTCATCTCACAGTGGCCTAAGGAAATCCAAAGGCCCTGGGAGAGCTGCCTGGAAACAGTACGAATTACTCTTCCATCTGAGGCACGGGAAACTCATCCACAGAGACAGAGAAGTGAGAGACAGCAAACCAAAAATAAAAATCTGCCCTGGGAATTTAGAGGCAGCTACGCTAAGTCCAATTATGAGCTTATAAGTATTTTTTGCTCCTTGATTCTGCCAGAAGTTTCATCCCATAAAATCAGAGCTTGTTAAGTCTGTTCTGCTGAAATATTTCACTACTTTTATATTACTAGTAAGAGTGGCTTGCCGGTTTCAGGATACAAAGACTTCTTTCCCATTCTGGAAATCTCATTTCTTATCTCCAAGGCAAGATTGCAGTCAGATATGCCCATTAAAACATGTTTTTGTGTTTGTCCTTAAGCGTCCAGATCCAGAAGAGCTTTTCTGACACTGCACACCTTTCTTCCCAATACCTAATTGTCCATCCAGGGAGTTTTGAGAAAGGATCCGGAGTCTGATAACATAAACCTCTGCGTGACCATCAGAATATTTTCTTTCAAATTATGTTGCAGAAATTGTTATATTACCAATTCAGGGATGCCTTTTATTCACTTGTATCATTTCATTACTCTTGAATATGGAAGTGAGGATGCTTTCATACTGATCCTTTAGCACCTTGCCTGGTATCTGGCCCTAGTGGCCTGGGGTACCACAGCACACTGGTCTTTATGTAGCTGCTGTGTATTTCAGCACCTGCCTGCTGTTCTGATATACCTGGCCTCTCTCACCTGAAGCTCCTTATTCTTACAGGTTGCACCTTTGTTTCCTTGGATCTCAAAACTCTGATTAAGTCCTGATATTACCTTTTTATCGATCACTCTGCTTTCTATCAAAACTATCATATCCCACAATCATAGTAAAATCCAGTTACCACAACCTATATTCACGACAAAAATCATCTGATGAATCAATTCACATGAATGAATTTAGTGGCTGATAGTAACCTCATTTTTTATGTTACACAGAGTACCTGTTCGCCAGCTCCATTTCCCTTATTTCTGACAACTCCTCCCCCTAATGTGATTCCTTTCTGTTCCCCACTCCCTTTCCTAGTGCTTGGTTTTAACCACATGATCAAAACCACCTTCTTCCTGCTCTTAACCTCTCACAGTCTTTGCCTGTATTTACCCTGCAGTCTTCTGAAACACACAGTTTCCTGAGCATTTCTCCATTTGCTCACCTCCATGATTCAAGCCTGCTTTAACCATGGCTTATTATGGCATTCCATTGTAGGAAGCTTGAGAATGTACACATATTGCATGTGGTCTCGCTCAAAAAGCATCGCATTCTAAGAAGTCTTCCCTATGCTGCCGGGCCCCACCCACTCTCTGAGTTCCTAACCCTTCCGCATATATAGATCATTACAGTGAAGGGCTGAAGTTGATCCCCCGAGATTCCAGTTCCCTTAGCCAAATGTGCTTCTCTAGGGCAGAAATCTGTCTTTTGCATCGACACTATGCCCAGTGCATACTTTTACACTAGTGGATATTTGCTTAATAAGTTACTAATGAAGATACTCTGCCCACGATACACTGCTTCGATCTGTCCATTCCTCTGTGCCTCCTCTCTGCCTTATTCTTCACTCTGACTCTTGGTGTAAACTTGGAGGAAGCTTGGAGTTTAGCAGGTCTAGACTTAAATCACAGTTCTTCTACTGTGTGACTCCATGTATGTCAGGATCATTGTAAATAATACATGAGATGATGTAAAACCTCTAGTGTAGTTCCTCTCACACAACAGCAACTTAATTTCCAAGTTGTGAGCTCTTTTTGTGTCGTGATGCCTTGGCTATACGAAGCAACCGGTGACCTTTCCATAACGTCTCCTTTAGCAGGATTGGGTGGGGAGGAAACATAAGGCTATTTCCCGGTCATGCTGAGTTGAAAAAGAAAAGGAGAGGGGGGTGATCTAGTGTAAATAAGAAGATAAAAAGTAGCCATCTTTCTGTACCATCCAATTATTGTATTTTATAGTTGCAAATCAGCAGCCATTATGTGTATTTGCTCTCTTGGTAACAGACTCTCATGTGATGGAGACCCGTGTGGACAGTTTAATTGGTGCTGAAATAATGAAAGGGATGAGACGCAATAAGCAGAATGAGAGTTCGCCTGCCAGAGGACAGAATTAGCATTTGGACTCTGTTTGACATAGAAGAGAAGCTGCTGGGTAAATGGGAGAAAGTACATGATTAGGGATTAGCTATAATAATGGTGTCCTGAAGAGAGAGTTCTTGGTCTGGTTGTTGTTTTTAAATCACAGGCTAGGATCCTAAGCAGAAAGACAGACTTGAAAATAGTGTTGCTTAGGGGAGTTACCAGTTCTTTGATCTCCAAAGCCCAAAATTAAACCCAGAGATGCAGAACTCTGAAGAAGCTTCCTCACACATGGCCTGAATGAAAATGATAGCAGTACACAGACATATTTCAAATTCGTAAAAAGTATTTTACTTGTGATTTTTACTTGAGGATATTTAATTGGCAGAATAGAATTGTGTATATTAACTGTATATAACATGACATTGGGCTGTATGTCCTCATTATGCAATGGGTAGCACCAAATTGATTAACACGTTCATCGGCACCCGTAGTACACAGCAGGTCCCCAGAACTTGCTCGTTTTATGACTGGAAGTTTGTATCCTTCTAACAACATCACCTCATTTCTCCTACACCCAGCGCTTGGCAACTGCCACTCCACTCTCTGTTTCTATGGGTTTGACATTTTTCAGATTCTACATATAACTAAGATCATACGGTGTTTATTGCTCTGTGTCTGGGCCAAAAGATTTTCTTTAGCTTAGTAAAAAGCAAAATGAAAAGGCTTCTAGTGGTGAATAGTGGCATCCAGTTCCTCTTGTTGATATGCACTTGCTCAGATCCACTGCTGTGCTTGTCAGCAAATGGTTAGGGTGGATAAATGGCGGCTGTGACCTCTGTGTAATGACTAACCTCCGACTGAACTGCCCTGTGGTGCAGTTCTCCTATGGTTTCAGTTACTCTAGTCTGTGAGGGCAGAGCTGTCTGAGGTCCCAAAGTCTGAGCAAAGTGCCTGCCATGACATAGGTGCTCAATAAACAGTTATGAATATTTGTAAGAAGGTCATTATCAACAATTTGACCTTGAAATCTGAAGAGGAAACCAAATCGTGAATTTATTTAATCAAGTTTCACCCTTGATTAATATGTAGCTATTTCTACCAATTATTAATAGTGACTAAAATTTATGGTTGACTATTATGGTCTAGGACCAATCCTAAGATCTTAATACACATTGTTTTGAATCAGTCTGAAAGTTCACAGAAAGTGAAAGTTTAAAGCCATAGGAAAAACAGAATTTGAGGAAAAAGAGCTCCGGTACCCTGCCTCTTACTCTGTCTAACTGCATAATACTGAACAAGTCATTCATCTTTCCTGTGTTTCCTCATCTGTGAAATGGGTTAATGAAAGTATTCTCTTAAAAAATTGTCTTAAGAATTAAATGAGATTATACTTTTGAAGCATTTTACTTTTTATTATTTTATGTTACCTATACACAATAATGGATTTCATTATGATATTTCTTAATGAATAATATATTCACACATACACATACACATACACACACACATACACACACACACACACACACACACACACACACACACACACACACACACATACCCTCTCCTCCTTCACTAATCCTTTCTTTACCTCTTCCCAGTTTTCCCCTCTTCTTCTTTCATGCCTTTTTCTTTTTCTTCTTTTACTTTTGGTGACTTACTGAGTTTCATTAGGATTTCTCACAGGAGCATTCTTGAAGAAAATGTTTTTTCCTTCATCATTTATTAACTACTTACACATTCTCAGAGAAGGATGAAGCCCCCACACTTCCCAATTCCACGACAGGGTACTGGCAGGTCCAATCTTGTGCAGACCTTGTGTGTATTGTCATACTTGCTGTGAGGTCAGGAATACAGTAGACGTGTAACTCTCAAAAGTCAGGATTCCACATTGCTCCCCACATCTTCCTCTGATTTTTTTTTACACTTTTTTCTCTCCACTTCTTCAGCAATGTTCCCTGAGGCTCGGGGAGGAGCGAGGTGGAGACAACTACAATATAGTTGTCTCACTTAGGAGTGGGCTTCAAAAGTCATTTATTCTCAGTACTTTGAGCTGTTAAAAGTCACATGACAAAAAAACAAAGATGCTTCTTTGACCAAAGTTGGTGGCAAAACTCTTCTGTGTATGTAGCATTGTTATTCTGAAGGTAATTTGACAGATAAATCATGTCCATTCAGCAAAACAACAACAGTAGCTTCCTCCCTTCAGACTCCCTGGCCCAGCCACAGGCTGTTGATCATGTTTACAGTATTGTATGTGAAACTCCTCATGTAAGGCAGGCATCAAATCCAATTAGAAAATGGAAGCTTACCTCCATGATAGGTTTGCCACTGTTTACCAGTGAGCTCATCTTGCCTGAACTGTTGCATGCAAGGTCCACAGCTTAGTAAGGCTATTGAGGACAACTTTTCACCAGCAGTGCAGCAGTAATTTCAACCAAGGTAATAATAG